CCAAGATATCCCATCCTGACATTGCACCAAGATATCGCACCCTGACATTGCACCAAGATATCCCATCCTGTCATTGCACCAAGATATCCCATCCTGACATTGTACCAAGATATCGCACCCTGACATTGCACCAAGATATCCCACCCAGACATTGTACCAAGATATCCCATCCTGACATTGTACCAAGATATCACACCCAGACATTGCACCAAGATATCCCATCCTGACATTGCACCAAGATATCGCACCCTGACATTGTACCAAGATATCGCACCCTGACATTGTACCAAGATATCCCATCCTGTCATTGCACCAAGATATCACACCCTGACATTGTACCAAGATATCACACCCTGACATTGTACCAAGATATCCCATCCTGACATTGTACCAAGATATCCCATCCTGACATTGTACCAAGATATCACACCCTGACATTGTACCAAGATATCCCATCCTGACATTGCACCAAGATATCCCATCCTGACATTGCACCAAGATATCCCATCCTGTCATTGCACCAAGATATCGCATCCTGACATTGTACCAAGATATCCCATCCTGACATTGTACCAAGATATCCCATCCTGACATTGTACCAAGATATCCCATCCTGACATTGTACCAAGATATCCCTTCCTGACATTGCACCAAGATATCGCATCCTGACATTGCACCAAGATATCGCACCCTGACATTGTACCAAGATATCCCATCCTGACATTGTACCAAGATATCCCATCCTGACATTGTACCAAGATATCACACCCAGACATTGTACCAAGATATCGCACCCTGACATTGCACCAAGATATCGCATCCTGACATTGTACCAAGATCTCACACCCTGACATTGTACCAAGATATCCCATCCTGACATTGTACCAAGATATCACACCCTGACATTGTACCAAGATATCGCACCCTGACATTGTACCAAGATATCGCACCCTGACATTGTACCAAGATATCCCATCCTGACATTGTACCAAGATATCCCACCCAGACATTGTACCAAGATATCGCACCCTGACATTGTACCAAGATATCACACCCTGACATTGTACCAAGATATCCCATCCTGACATTGTACCAAGATATCCCACCCTGACATTGTACCAAGATATCCCATCCTGACATTGTACCAAGATATCACACCCAGACATTGTACCAAGATATCCCATCCTGACATTGTACCAAGATATCACACCCAGACAGTGTACCAAGATATCCCATCCTGACATTGTACCAAGATATCGCACCCAATATAGCAATTTTGATATGAAAATACACATCCACAACTCAAATACACTTGAACATGTTGAACATAACAAAGCACACTGATATTGGGACTGGCTAAAGGGATCAATATTTGGAATTATCATTAACCATAATCAATATGAAATTGTTGTCATCGATAATAATTCACATAAACTATTATGATAAAAAGTTTAGATTTACTGAAACAGGCTTGCTTCATGTCAATTGTCGAAGATGGAAAGCAACTGTTTTGCTATATCTCAAATGTCCACAAAGTAATCCATGCATAAATGTGTCACTGCTCACCAGTAGCGGAAAATATTTTGAGTCTATTTTCTTGCATATTTGCCTAAAGTTACTTCTCTGAAATTTATCAATAATTGATCGGTATCTAGTTAGTGATGACCAATCTCTACGATCAACATCGACAGCCAGCCTATGTGATACCCTTCTTTTTTCATTTGTACCATTACAATGGTAACTTAAAATAAGAAAAGGGTGGTCGGGTAGCCAAGTGGTTAAAGCGTTCGCTTGTCATGGCGAAGACCTGGGTTCGATTCCCGACATGGGTACAATGTGTGAAGCCCATTTCTGGTGTCCCCCGCTGTGATATTGCTGGAGTATTGCTAAAAGCGGCGTAAAACTATATTCACTCACTCACTAAAATAAGAAAAATAATGTTAACCATGTGAAGCATGTTAGGAAACAATCTAATTACAATAATTAAGAACTAACTAAGCATGCTAAGAAGGTTTCTAACTCGCAAACATAAACACACCATGGAAAATACCCACCCAGGGACCTTCATCGTTCCATGATCCCATCCAAACAGAAAAGCTGATAACCAAACAGTGTTTGAAGCCCACGATCCTGGTGTATCTGTCTTAACAACCTAAATCTGTCACTTCACCCCGCAACAGCCATTTGAACGTGCACACGTTTAATAAATTAGTAATCGTAAATGCTGATATCTACCCCATCTTGTTACCTCAATCCCGGCAACACTGAAGTTGTGTTTTACTGTAATCAATCATGATGACAGTGATGGTACAGGGGTATATTTAAATCAACACGTTTATTTTAAACAAGGGGATAAGGCAAGGAGACTATCTCTCCCAAGGTTTATCATTGCAAAGGAACCACATAAGTCTCTGTGTGGTTTGTGCATGTTGTGGGATCTCTGGAATAGAAACGTCAAGATGTTTATGTGTGCCCTTTGGAAAGTTAGTGTGCCAACCATTACAGGGCTTGATTTAAGGAATTTTGATTTGACACGCATCAGGTGCATGTTGACATGAAAATCCAGTTGCACGAGACAAAACCAGGTTGCACCCTGGTCTCATTAATTTATCAATGTTGAAACATAGACATGATGATAATTGCAATTGTTGTTACTGTTAATCCTCCACCTACTATATATATATTCTGTACTATGTCCCTCATTCAGTCTTGCTTGACAACGGTATAAGGATCTATACCGAAACGTTGCTTTTCACAGTATTAAAGAAGTTGTTATCCATAAAATTGTGTCTATCGTGACATGATAGATGCATAAAATAGTCGAAAATAAAGAAAATCTCAAATCGATGCTCATGATATCAATCACTGGACTGTCAGGTCCAGATTCCATTATACACAGACCGTCTTCATATAGCTGGAATATTGCTGAGTGCGACGTTAAACAACAAACAAATGAAACATTTTTACTGATAAAAGGAAAGTACTTACATTGGACACATTTTATACCAGTACTTGTTCCTCAAATGCTCCAACTATATTTGAAAGTCACCTTGATGTAGGAGGAATATTGCTGACGGTGGCATAAAACAACATTCACACACTTGCTCACTGTAATTCACCATACAGCCAATAACAGTATCTTAGCTTACTCTGTTCTCAATCAGCAAAACCACTCAGCAATAACCCCTGCAGTGCTGAGAGTGTGCCCCCTCAACTAGTGACAGCCATCCAGCCTAGCACCACAGATTCCCACCAGTTGCCCGGACCCATCACAAGTCCCCACCCCTCCTCACCCCCCCGACCCCCTGGAGTACCGAGAGTCTCCCCCCAACCACCCGACCCCCTGGAGTACCGAGAGTCTCCCCCCCAACCACCCGACCCCTTAGAGTACCGAGAGTCTCCCCTCAACTCGAGGCAGCTCTCCAGTCTAGCACAAGGGATCCCCCTCCCCACACACACAAGTTCCCTGGACCTAATCACTAATCTCCTCACCCCACCCCCAGCCTGCGTCCCAAGACAGCAACCAACTACAGCCTGTAGTATTTGTATACCTGGGGCTTACACAGACTCCCTCAACTGTGGTTTGAAGAGGCTAGGCCTGATTTCATCTCAGTTAATCGTAAACCTTATACCAGATTTTTTTAAAGCGATTGGAACATTAGTTACCATGGTTACCCCAAGTGCTGCCTGATATGGTACAAAGTGAGTGAGTGAGTGAGTGAGTGAGTGAGTGAGTGAGTGAGTGAGTGAGTGAGTGAGTATGGTCTTACGCCTCTTTTAGCAAAATATTCCAGCTATATCACGGCAGGACACCAGATTTGGTTTTTGTTTGTTGTTTTACGCTGCACTCAGCAATATTCCAGCTATATGACGGCGGTCTGTAAATAATCGAGTCTGGACCAGACAATCCAGTGATTTACATCATGAACATCGATCCACGCAATTGGGATCGATGACATCCATCAACCAAGTCAGCGAGCCTGACCACCCGATCCCGTTGTTCGCCTTTTACGGCAAGCATGGGTTGCTGAAGACCTATTCTAGCCCGGATCTTCATGGGTCGGGAACACCAGAAATGGGCTTCACACATTGTACCCATGTCGGGAATCGAACCCAGGTCTATGGCATGATGAGCAAACACTTTACCCATTAGGCTACCCCACCGCCACTCATGGTTCACTCACACACATGGCACAGAAAATTCGATCTAATTTTGTGTCCTCAAGAATGGAAACTGACAAAGGGGCAATGCAATTATTTTTCAATAGTGGTAATATCCAAAGAAGAGAATCTAATCATTTCAAGGCCTGGCTAAAAGTGCTAAGCTTTTTAGAAAATCCATCAAAAAGCCTCACTCCTGACCAAAGTTGTTATAAATCCTTTTCAAGTGTTTGATATGCCATTGACTGGTACATGTGACGAGTATTTCACCCCATGCTGAGAAAACCCTGACTAGTTGTAATATTCTTCAAATCGGGAGAGTCCATGTGTGGACTTAGGGTTAGAATTGGTCCCTAGCAACCTGTGCTGGTCACACGAAATTGAAAATTGAATCTCCTTCATGTCTTTGGTGACCAACTTAGTCGCAAAATTAAGGCCTGAATGCGCTTACTTTGAAATCAGAATATTATGGCTTAATAAACATGAATAAGGAAGTCTTTAAGGATGTTAAGTGCGCTTTACATGTTGTTTTGCATAATGATATGGATAATACAACTGCAACAGTGACGAGAGTGACGACTTATCTTTACACATTGCTAGCTCACCACAGAGCTTCTATGACAGCACATGGAGCCACACTACCAATGTTAACAAAGAATAAATACTGATAATGGCAATAGTTCAAAATGTGCCTCTATTCACTTGGCAGTGAATGGGTACCCGGTAGGATGAGAATGCAACATGGTTAACCTTCTACCGTCTAACACTTGTAACAGGCACCTTGAGTTCAATGTAAAGGAGGGTAACTCTTGAACATTGGGAGACAACTCTACACTGACCTCATGCTGCTGTTGCTCCTCCTCCTTCCTGTATTCCGCCTCCTCCTGGTTCTGTAAGGCCGCCCCGTCAAAGTTGAGGCTCGTCCCAGGGTTCATGAGACTCAGATTGCTCATCCTGCAGCCTCTAGTAGTCTCCCTGTGCTGACATTCTTAGTCCTAATAGAAAAATGGCCATACCATGAGCATGTTTGTGAGTGAGTGCATATGGTTTTACGCCGCTTTTAGCAATATTCCAGCAATCTCATGGCAGGGGACACCAGAAACGGCTTCACCCATTGTACCTATGTTGGGAATTGAACCCGGGTCTTCAGTGAGACAAGCGGACAAAATCTAAAAATGCATCTATATCTTAGTCATAAGACCTTAAATGCAGCATGAACATCACAAATCTTTCAACAAGATTTATTTTCACAACCAACAAATAAAATAAATTAAGTCTGTCATGAATTCTTCATGGTCTTTGGCACACAAATCTATGACTGTGACAAATCCCACTTAAACTTTTAGTAATGAGTGAGTGAGTTAGTTTGATTTTACGCCGCTTTTAGCAATATTCCAGCAATATCACGGCGGGGAACACCAGAAATGGGCTTCACACGTTGTACCTATGTTGGGAATTGAACCCGGGTCTTCAGCATGTTCAGTGTGAAAGCGGACACTTTAACCACTAGGCTACCCGTCCGCACCCATGAGCATGTTAAGAAACACATGTTTGTTTACGAATTGACTTCAATCCTTTTTGCGTCATGGAGGTATATTACAAACCACAAGAAGCAGTGTGCCCACAGAGGAAATCCACAGATTTAGGTAAAGCGTGCACACTAGTTTATCTGTTGATAACTCCATCAATTCTTATAAATATATAATCTGAGTACGTCAAGAATATCAACAATCATATCATCACAAAAAAAATGTGGACAACAATGCGGAAATCAATGACATCGTTTAGCGAAAGAATACAACACAAGCCCCACCCATTCTACTATCATATAATCAGGAAACAGTATTCCGCTTGGGGACAATTTCTTTTTTGATTTACATAAAACATAAATGAAAATATGTGCACCAAGTCAAATGCCATGTTTTTCATACATCATACTTCTTGAGAAAAATAAAAGGTTCTTATGAGTTATCAAGAAAAGTGTTTGTATGATTGAAATGGCCAAAAGATTTCTAGGATTAAAATCCCACTTAATCATGTTAATAAAGTCTTTTAGTCTTTTAGCCATTCAGCCATTTTAGCCATATTTAGTGAATTTCAAGAGTTTATTAATTCTTTTTTTAACAAATGCTTACATCATGGACCAAGTCATCTTCCTGAGGCAAGAGAGATAACTGACTATAAAACCTCAAACTTTATGCCCACATTATTGAATCAATGACCCATTATGAAACTGAAATACTGTTCAAAGCATGTTCAAAACTCCCACTACATAGTGGTATTTTTACTTGGTCCCATCTTCCGGAGGCAAGAGAGTTAACTGACTTTAAAAGTCCAGTTTCCACCCTTGCCGAACCAGGCTGGTATTATGGAGTTACAGTTTGGCTGGACTAACGAGTCTATGCATAGTCCAATCAAAATCGCGCACCGAAATCGAAATCCGGTTCTCAAACTGTCGTGCAGATTTCGATCGATTGCAGGATTTGACAAGCATGTGCACCGCCACCTCGTCAGCAGATATTGTCCAAATCTTTTCACATTTTTAATCAAGGTGCTCACATGATTTGATGCATTTCGCGATGTAAGACCCGTTTTATCACAATATAGATCTTGATTATCGATCAGATCGTCCTGACTGGGCGCCACCATTTTGTGTGAAGCAAACAAAAGTGACACGAGAGGTGGAATCTGATTGGTCCATAGGAGAGGCTTAGAAGGGACATAACTGGTAATAGCCACTGGTGGCGCTATGATCGAGATCAGTAATTCCAGCCTAGTTCGGCAAGGGTGGAAACTGGACTTTTAAAGTCAGTTAACTCTCTTGCCTCCGGAAGATGGGACCAAGTAAGAATACTACTATGTAGTGGGAGTTTTGATCACGTTTTGAACAGTATTTCAATTTCGTAATGGGTCAACTGATTCAATAATGTGGGCATAAAGTTTTTGAGGTCTTTGAGGTCTACCAGTTTTGTGAAACAAGGACAAAACAAGGAACATTATTAAGTTGAATCTGGCATTCAAACCCACGACCATAGGTTTCTGGCACATGCAAGGGGCACAACTCTGCAGTGACTGGGACATGCCACCCTCAGGGCAGTGAGGTATTCAAATCCATAAGGCTTACCAACCAAGCTTATCTCATTTCAATAAATAAGTCTTTGATAGATTGATCTCAGAGGGATAATCCAGTAAGATCAGAAAGCAGTGATCACAACTTAGAGGACTCAGGAGCAAAACTTTGAGTTCAAAAGTTAGAAAATAACAATACAGTTTGCTTAACTTTGCCCACTGGTATGAGGCTTAAAGAGAAAGGAATGCAAAATGTACTTTTTATTCATGTGTGACACAGGGCACTCAAAACGATGTTAAGGCGTGCCCTTTGGAAACGTAGTGTGCCTACAACAGTGTACAAGAAATACAGTGTTAGAAACTGGCAATAGTCCTGTAGTCCTTGCCAAACTGCCCAATAGTAAAGGTATCATAAGGACCAGTTGAAATTTGCCATTTTAGGCGTTTTCCTATACCGGTATGTTATCATTATTAGGACTAGTGGACTGAAACTGTTAGTTTCTACCGCTGAAATAATTCTTCTTCTTCTTCATCCATCCTTAAAATCAGTGAGACAGACAATAATCAACAAATGATCAAATTTAGTAAGTTCGCCTCCTTCATTGCCACTGAATTTTCAGGTATATTTTGGGAACCATTCTGTGCATTTCCAATGTGTACGTCCAGTTTATTATTATATTAATGAGAAAATACATTTACCTCTGCTTCATTATAACAAACATCATTACAGGACATCACAGGACAAATGTCAAGGTGTCAAGTTTTTATGTATCATAACATGCATTGGTTCGATACAGAAAAACTTCGTCATTACCGGCATTTAGGCAAATGCTGCGAAGATTCAGTCACTTTAACCATTGATACCTGCATTGGGGTCACACTATTTGCAGATTTGTTCTACATCTACCAGGATGCTAAAAAATATTATTATTTTGTATGGTATAGTACTGAGAGTATTATCATGATTATATACCCAATGAATTCAAGCAATCTTCAACACATTAAGTACTCCTCTACTAAATGAGGTATGTCACATTCCAACTTGTCGCATTTACAAAATTCTTGCAGCTATTTGAACAATCAGAGGGAAAACAAAAACAAATATTGTCAGTCATTCATTCATTGTCTTAATGACTATTGGTATAAAATTACATTCTCAATGATCATAATCATTTTCATGATCTTGTAGTTGGTTTGTTTGTTTGTTGTTTAACGCCGCACTCAGCAATATTCCAGCTATATGACGGCGGTCTGTAAATAATCAAGTGACCAGACAATCCAGTGATTGATATCCTGAGCATCGATCCATGCAATTGTGATCGATCACATGCATCAACCAAGTCAGCAAGCCTGACCACCTGATCCCGTTAGTCACCTTTTACGACAAGCATGGGTTGCTGAAGACCTATTCTACCCCGAAATCTTCACTGGTCCAGTCAATATGAAAACAGATTCATTGTTTTAATGACTATTGGTATAAAATTACATTCTCAATGATCATATTCATTTTCATGATCTTGTAATATTGAAGCAAAACTAAACATGACAAGGATCATGAACTTCCGACACAAGTAAAATCTGTCAAACAACATACCTTGAGCGTCTGCCAACCAAGCGCCATTCAATAGCTTAGATTTACGGAATCTCAGCACTGATCACTGTCCATCGTCAACAAGTGTACGAAAAATTAGCCTTCCCACACCCTTATCACCGAAAGAAAACGTAGACCTGAGAGTCTAAGGATCAAGACTGAAGTTAGGCTTTGTTGACAAATTGACCAAGTTCTTGCTCTAGCACGCAACATTCCTCCAACCACATGGTACACTATCCCTTCGTGTCACTGATCCCTTTGTAAATGGTTTTACTACTTAGCTCAGGTCACTGACGCTCGGTGCTATGAATGTGTTGACAGGCGTGTGTACATATTTCAGGTAGAAACATGTTCATAACGTGCACCTGCTACTGTCGGCGCAACTATCATTCAATGTTGTAAACATAAATAGATATTCATCTTAATGATGCATGTATTCAATGCATCACATTGCTCGTAAACATATACAGTTCTTAGCCTTCAATAATATAATATTCCATATCCTCACATAGTAAAATAGCGACGAGTGAATTATTCCACGAGAACGTCAATAGATAATAGTTGTAAAGAAAGTAGTACTATTGGACGCCTAGCTTCGAGGTTTATACACTGTTCTCATGAAGATTGCTGTTTCAAATGCCACCAAATCACACTGTCGTACCTTCAGCTTAAGTATTCCAAACGATGCACCTCAATTCAAGTATGTTTCTGTGCTAGATCGTGCATACAATCGCACGGGAAAGGCGTGACATTTCCTCCTTTGAAAGCGCCGCCATTCTTAAACCCATAATGCATCGGAAAGAAAACTTCCGACGACAATGATGTAAAAGTAATTCCGGGAACATTTCCGAAAAAAATATTAGAAGATTATACTGACATTTTAATCTGTCTAGTAGTCTCCAACAATCTAATTCGGATCTTGGGGATGAAAGGTTCTTATGTCTTAAAAAGAAAGAAGAAGATAAAACTTGTTTAAAAGGGCACACACACATGCTGTAGTCTTACATGGTATGCATTGGCATTAGCTGGATGTAAGAACATGTCTTGCATGGTTGGTTGGTTGGTTGTTTTGTTGTTTAACGCCGCAGTCAGCAATATTCCAGCTATAATGACGGCGGTTTGTAAATAATGGAGTCTGGACCAGAAAATCCAGTGATTGACACCATAGGCATCGATCCACGCAATTGGGACCGATGACGTGCATGACTGATTGGTTGGTTTGTTGTTTTACGCCGCACTCAGCAATATTCCAGCTATATGACGGCGGTCTGTAAATAATCGAGTCTGGACCAGACAATCAGTGATTGATATCATGAACATCGATCGACGCAATGTCGAAGTTTCACTCATGGCACTAATTACAAGGTTCAGACCCAGACCTTGGAGTAGTCCGTGATGTAACTGAAACATAGGCGTAGATCGGCGTTAAACTACTCCCCCCCCCCCCCCCCCCTCACACACACACACACACACACATGATGTCAGAGAACACGCCATAATGTCGGAGATGTTTACTGCTTTGGTGAATCCATTCGAGTACAGCAAGCACAGACTGATATGGTTACAAATTTTAAAAGGATATTTTACGGCCGTTTCAAACACATTCCTCGAGAGAGTGAACATTCCTCGAACATCGCATTGTTTCAACCAATTAGCTGTTGTTTGTTGTTTAACGCCGCACTCATTAATATTCCAGCTATATGACCAGTGCCGTAGCCATGAATAATGAATACTTTTTTAATCCCCCCTCTGTCAAAAAAGTTAACTACGGCCTTGATGACGGCGGTTGGTAAATAATCGAGTCTGGACGAGACAATCCAGTGATTGACATCATGAGCATCGATCCACGCAATTGGGATACGACGACATGCATCAACCAAGTCAGCGAGCCTGACCACCCGATCCCGTTAGTCGCTTCCTACGACAAGCATAGTCGCCTTTTACGGTAAGCATGGGTTGCTGAAGACCTATTCTACCCTGGATCCTCATGGGTCTTGTAAAAGGCGACTATGCTTGTCGTAAGAGGCGACTAACGGTATCGTGTGGTAAGGCTCGCTGACTTGTTTCATGCATGTCATTGTATCCCAATTGCGTGGATCGATGCACATGATGTCAATCACTGGATTGTCTGGTCCATACTCGATTATTTAATATTTACACAGAGCGCCCTCATATAACTTGAATATTGCTGAGTGCGGCGTTAAACAACAAACAAACAAACACATTTTTACGACAAGCATGGGTTGCTGAAGACCTAGTTTACCCCGGATCTTCACGGGTGCCGACTCGGACGAAACCAAGATTCACATATTTAGTTCACATTATGACTAAGAAGAGAAATACTTATTTATTTATTTAAATAATATCGCCATCTTATTATAAAATAACCCTTTCCAGTGATGGAAATAAACATAACAGACAACAGACATTGTTTGGTGCAGGGTATTCATTGCCGGATACAGTATTCAAGTTAAATAGACTACTCCCGACTTTAAGTTATTGCAATTCATCGTTCTCATTTGGAGCCAAACTGACTGAATGATGTTGACGTCACACACTTCGCAGCCTCCTGTGTGTGCCTACTGAAAAGATGTGGAATGTAAAGCTCATTCCTGAAATAAATATTTCAACTTAACGGTAAATCGATTCTACTTTACCATATCTACATACACGTGGATCGATGCTCATATCAATCACTGGATTGTCTGGTCCCGACTCGAATATTTTACAGACCGCCGTCATATAGCTGGAATATTGCTGAGTGCGGCGTAAAACAACAAACCAAACCAAAAACATACATGTATGTGTCCACGAACCAATTTTTAAAAGCGTTGTAAAACTATACTCACTCACTGACACTATACATCATACATCTTGTCATATACTGATGGTATCATCTTACGTCATCAGCCAGGCTAAAAATAGTCATTTTAATGACATTGGTGTAAATGAAACGACGTTGCCTGTGGTCGATTGGTTGGTTGTTTAACGCCGCACTCAGCAATATTCCAGCTATATGACGGCAGTCTGTAAATAATCGAGTCTTGACCAGACAATCCATTGATTAATATCATGAGCATCGATCCACGCAATTGGGATCGATGACATGCATCAACCCCACTAGAGTGAGTTGGATTTAACGCTGCTTTTAAAATTATTCCAGTTATATCACGGCGTGTCAGCTTAATGTGGGAGGAAAGCCCGAAGTGATGCAGGTCTAAGACGTTTACCACTTCGGTGAAACCCACGAGCACGGGTATGGTGCTGACAAACCTAGAAACATAATTGGGGCGAACCGGGATTCGAACCCACAATCATAGCTTTCTGGCGTGCCCAAGGGACGCACAGCGAATCGCGGCGCCCTAGACGACTGAGCCACCCGTGCCCCCAAAAGTGGATATTGACATAATATGTTAAGAATGTCCTGTAGGCAAGAAAAAGAATCGGAAAATATGAGAAACGTCTTATATTTTGACCGTTTACTAATATATTGTAAAGCTGTTAAAATGGCATTGGCCTCTGCTGTGAAAACAGAACCATTATCGGGTAACCTGGAGGAGATAGTCCTGGATCCAATGACAGTGGCGCTGGCAACAGCGTCACTATCCTTGGATCCATCTTTAAATATAGATTTGTAAGTATCATATGTGTTTCCTAATTCATTATATTGTTGTTGATAAATAAGTTGATTTGTTTAAGATTTCTTTAGTTTAATTAATGTTAGATCAACCTCTGGCTACTATCAACAGACATTATTGAAGGCTCTGTCCAGGAGGTTAAAGTACCGTAAAAATAATGCCCCCCTGCGCGACACGTAATCCTATCAAAAACAATGTAACTATCATCAACCAGTGTTTTTAAGCCAACTCATTGATGAATATTTTTTAATATTGGCTAGCATTGTGCACAACCACCAGTAGCTAAAGTGATGACGTAAATCCTGCTGGGGTATCATGCAGGAAGCCGAGGTACTGTAAGTCCCCATGATCCCCAGTGAGGTGGCCTAGCTTTGGTTACTGGTGGCCTATAGCCCGTGTTTTAAAACTGTATATATAATACTGTAATGCCCAAATATGTTTCATGAATTGTTTCTAAATATAGTATGCTCAAATATGTTTTACAACTTGTTTTTAAACAAACCTTTGCATTAATGAATAAATTGTAAATATATTAACTTGGTCTCGTCGCTATGTGGCTGAAATAATGCCGATGCGACGTTAAATTTTAACTCACTCACTCACTTTACTAACTGCCTTGGTGGAGAAGACAAAAGCTGAGTGAGGGCTATATTTTCAAGATATATTTCAGAAGCAGAAATATCAGATTGTAGCCTTATTAGCCTTAGTGGAGGGAGAACAGATGCTTTTTATTGTAGAGATTTGCGTAAAGGGGGTTAAAAACACAGTCATATGCTGGATTCGAGTTATCAGAACATAATTTAGAGATACACTGTAAGGATAATTTAACTCGGCGTTGTTAAAGAGATGGCTCATCGGCCTCGTCGACTGTCAATAGAAGTTCGGAAAGATCCAACACAGAGTCTTCGACCTTGATTGTGGATAGAGTCCAAAAGTTTAAGATTACTTTTGCAGGCTCCGCAGTAGTACAGGGTACCTCTTTGGCCCCAAAGCCAGCAGGAGTTATATCCCCTACCGGAAGTGCCGCCATCTTGGATGCGCTAAGAGGGGCATGCTGTGTAGTGCGTGCGCATCCAAGATGACGTTTCCGGCGCACGTGAAATCCTCAACTTCAATTAAAAAGAGCGCACGTAAAATCACCCACTTAAGTAAGTAAGGCTATCATTGGCATCAGAGTTGGCAAGCGAGTTGGTTAGGAGGAGGGTTCTTGTCTGTTTGTTTACTGTTGGCAAAGCATTGATGAAAGTGTTCTTTCGGGAGAGTTGGGTGGCCGCTTGGAGAAGAAAAAAACACCAACACTGGAACAGAACAGGAACGAGAAAAGAACAGGAACGGGAACGTCATCCAAGGAAGGCGGGAAAGCTTCCTCATTCGCGTTGCACTGATTCGCATTCTCGCACACATAGTGCCAGAAAAAAAGTAGCTGCCATGTCCTTCTTGTGACTTGCCACCCCGGTCATCTTGAGATAGGTACATTGAGGGGACCACTTGAGGTGTTCCACCCAAGGATCATCGAGGGGCGCCCATCTTCTCAGCCGCACGCCGTACTGGAAACAGCAAACGCTATCAGTACTCAGCGTGTACTCGAAGTCCGCATGAGCCATCTCTTCAGCAGTCTGATTCATCTGCATCGGCCACGCCTCAAAAGAGGCTAGTCTTCTTTCAAAGTGTTGATGAGGCGACGGTAGCTCACTGGGCAGCGGCGGCCTACCATCACAAGAATCCGTACTCTCAAATCTGGGCCCACAAGAATCCGTACCATCCCTCCTGGGTCCACAAGAATCCACATCCTCAGTCACCAGAAGAGTCCTGGTCCCCTCACAAGCATCTGTCCTGTTATTCGTCTCTGCCATTCTCGATGCGATGTTTTTTTTCACAAGTGAAAGTTTACGTTCTCTTGTTATAGGAGAGGGAGCGGATCAAAATGTTCCGCTGTTTTGATTAGTCCAAAACGCAGCGCGCTGATTGGTCCGTTTCAGTGCCTGGTCTGAGCCCCGGTTTTCCAAACCGGCCGACCCTTGTGTTTCTTTTCCATGGGAAAAGGCATGTTTCATGGGAGAGAAAGCACAACCCACTGTTCGATGGGTCGAAAACCCAAGCTTTTGATGAAGCTTCTGGTTGCCCTTTTTATCCTGTTTTTCGGGTGTGCATTTCCACCACCACCATTTCCTCTCGGGTAGGTGACATGATTGTCAACGTTGTGGTGCATGGCCCCGTTCCACAAGGTGATCGTTTTGTAGCCCAACGACAGTCGTGAAAGTAAGTGAGTGGCGATCACCTTAGCGATACGCTCATGTTGTGGAACGGACGTCTGAATTCTAAAGGTGGACCTACATGGACAGACATGGACGTGATGTATGTATGCATACGTGATGTACTTCCTGTATCCATAAAAACGTCGTGTCATTCGTGTATACAAACATACGTTTGTATATTTTGGTTCGCAGTGGAAGACTAAACTCAGATTAACTAAACATGAACTTACCTTGCAATCAACTAAACGTGAAATCCCCTTGTAATCAACTAAACGTGAAATCCCCTTGTAATCAACTAAACGTGAATCCCCTTGTAATCAACTAAACGTGAACTCCCCTTGTGATGAACAATGAAAATGTAATAAGATAAAATGAAATAGATTTGAAACTTTAAGTGAAGTTGCCGTTTGATTAGCGTATGGTAACTATGTGAATGGCTAACTCACTCAACTATTTCTATTCTTTTCCTGTACCAGTCTAGTTCACTATTTTGTAACTTAGAGAGAGATTTCCATTTACTTCTTGCACATGTGAATGCCAGAAGCCAACTGAAATACACTGTGTCTAGAGCATGCACATTTTACGCTCAACCAGCAAGAAGCATGTGCTGTATGCAACTTTAACGCTTTCTGTGAAGCTGTTGTGTACCCATGAATCAACCACTGTGTCCAGGAACATGATACTTGTTCCCGGACGCTTTAGAACATATTTACATATACTCAACAACAAAAGTTCATGTGACACCACTATTTTAGTGTATTTTTCAAACAAATAAAGTTTGGTTTTCAATATTGGAGTACATGTATGGAATCAAGTCATAAAAACACAACTACTACAGAAAAGCCTGCATTCCATGCAAAACTTTTATACAAGCCCCCTGCATTTCACTACCCAAGAATGGGTATAAAAACAAGTGTCTACGCTGGACGGCCATGCAGTGGGGACAAGTTCTATTCACTGACGAGTCTCGTTTTCACCTCAGCCACGTGTTCCACAAACACTCCAGGAACTTCGAAACATGCTCCAGCAGATATGGACAGATATCCCATAGGACTTTGTGCGACGCCTGGTCCGTTCCATGAGACGAAGATGTGTTGCTTGCATCGCTCTGTATATGTCCATAAAACAAATCGTCAACAAGTGGGAATGCGACTTTAAAGCCCAGCAACGGGCAGACCCAGCTTTGGGTGCTTTCTGGCATCGACCATACTGTGACGACTTTCCTGACCCACTAGGCCCTCGTGAGGCCTTCTATGGTGGACAAACCAATGCCATCCAAATATACTATGAGGCACAAGAAGGTGAAATCATCCGGTATGTCGATGTCTGTTCGCTTTATCCCTACATTTGCAAGTACGGTACCTTTCCCACAGGACACTCTACCATCCTCTACTGCCATTCAGAACGGGTGGGGGGCGGTCGGGTAGCCTAGTGGTTAAAGCGTTCGCTCGTCACGCTGAAGACCCGGGTTCGAATCCCGACATGGGTACAATGTGTGAAGCCCATTTCTGGTGTCCCCCGCCGTGATATTGCTGGAATATTGCTAAAAGCGGCGTAAAACCAAACTCACTCACTCACTCACTCAGATCGGGTGGAAAACTGCTCTTTCCTTTGTGCCGAAACCCAGTCAGAGACGTCCTGTGAGCATACGGATGAGGAGATGGCCTGGATGGGCACGTGCACCACCCTAGAAGTCCAAGAAGCTTTGACATGTATGACCCCGAGACCCAGCAAGGGGGACCCTTTGCCCGTTATGTCGACCATTTTTTAAAGTTGAAGTGTGAGTGAGTTTATGCTTTACGTCACATCAGCAATATTTCAGGCATATCGTGACGAGAACATTAATAATACTTAAATTTAGAGGAATAAAAAAAACCAGTCATCGACGGACAGTATACTAACTAGTATATCACAGTTTATGAGTAAGTAAGTAAGTAAGTAAGTAAGTAAGTAAGTAAGTATAGTTTAGAACAATTAAAAGAATAACCTATTATTCAACAATACATTATAAAAACGGCCTATAGATCGCCAGCAACTAAAGTTAGGCCACCTTACTGGGGACTGTGGGGACTTACAATACTTCTGCCACCTGCACGGCTCCCCAGCAGGATTTACACCATCCCTTCAGATGCTGGTGATGGCATGCAATTAAGCTTTCATTAAAAAGAAACAAATATACTACCCTTAAAAATTGTGGTTGGAATAAATGTACTTTCTGGATGTGATCTTACTCTCAGGGGGACAATAATTTTACACCACTTCAACCCCCTATAAAGGTTACAGCCAAAACACTACCAATATTATAAAAAAAATTACTACCAATATTATAAAAAAATAACTATCTATACAATCAAAATTATCAATATTTTTTTAAAATCCCATAGTTAAATGACAACTAATACTATTAAAAAGATCCTTAAGAGATGATGATTTGAAATTTTAATCCCTTGTGATGGCAAAATCAATAGTCAAGCAGGACAAGTGACGATCCCTCATCCAGACTCGCTGACTTGGTTGATGCATGTCATCGATCCCAATTGCGTGGATCGATGCTCATGATATCAATCACTGGATTGTCTGGTCCTGACTCAATTATTTACAGACCGCCGTCATAAAGCTGGAATATTGCTGAGTGCGGCGTTAAATAACCAACCAACCAATCATGTGCTTAAATGTTTTGTCCGAATAAAATGATCTCACAAATAGGTCTTCAGCAACCCATGCTTGCCGTAAAAGGCGACTAACGGGATCGGGTGGTCAGGCTCGCTGACTTGGTTGATGCATGTCATATCGTGTCCCAATTGCGTGGATCGATGGTCATGTCATTCACTGGTTTGTCTGGTCCAGACTCGATTATTAACAGACCGCCGTCATAAAGCTGGAATATTGCTGAGTGCGGCGTAAAACAACCAATTGCGTGGATCGATGCTCATGATATCAATCACTTGATTGTCTGGTCCAGATTCGATTATTTACAGACCGCCGTCATAAAGCTGGAATATTGCTGAGTGTGGCGTTAAACAACAAACCAACCAAAACAAAGAAATGGGGGCATAACTCCGCTATGCTTAGCACTAGTTTATTGTACCTCAGGTCACTTGGTGAGAATTAGCTGTCGGTAAGGACAATATTTTTCGTTGTGTTTAGTTCACTAGGAACCAAACTATTCCAACACAATTATCGATATTGAAACTGTATACTTTTAGTCATAAAAAATACCCATAAGAAATGATGAAATCGTACTTCATAAAAAAAGAGATAATAGAGAAATGGATGGCCCTATATCTGACCTATAACTAAGTGAAGATCCGGGCTAGAATAGGTCTTCAGCAACCCATGCTTGCCGTAAAAGGCGACTATGCTTGTCGTTAAAGGCGACTAACGGGATCGAGTGGTCAGGCTCGCTGACTTGGTTGATGCATGTCATCGATCCCAATTGAATGGATCGATGCTCATGATATTAATCACTGGATTGTCTGGTCCAGACTCGATTTATTTACAGACCGCCGTCATATAGCTGTAATATTGCTGAGTGCGGCGTTAAACAACAAACCAACCAACCAAAACCCAACCTTACTTTTCAACATTTTCCTGAATGTGTAAGTGTAATTTGACTAATATTGCACCATTATTAATGGAGCACTAGCGTCATCAAATGTAATGAAATACCCCCCCCCCCCCCCCCCCCCCACCCCCAAAATAACACCACCATTCTATTTGACGTAATGGCTGGTTTTATGTCTTTGATAACGTCTGAGTAAGATGACACTGGTATTATATTTTTATACAATTCCTGGAGAAATAAAGTAAACAGTTTTATAATATCCTGTGATCACAATATTGAAAAAAGAATGAACCCATTGATTATATAATGCAAAACGAGAGGAATAATTCGTAAATTGTTTGTGACTATAACGCGCACCTGGCGAATCGTTAAATATCACAGTTCTGTGTATCGAACGACAGAAAAAACAATTCCAAGGCAAAGACAATTCTTTCAGAAATGTGTGCATATATTTTAACGAAAAATATTATTCATTTTGTTGAAGCAATGTATTCAATTTTAGTTGTAAAATAAAATGAAACGGCTATTCATGGACATTGCAGCTGGTTATATGAACTTATAATATTGACTATTACACATCCCAAGAAATACGTACATACTGCAGTTACACACAATAAACCTATCAAATCTTATGAAAAGAATATTCGAACAAACAGGTTTTGGTGTTGTGTGTTGTTTTACGCCGCACTCAGCAATTAGTCCGTAATTAAAGGTTTATTTTTCATGAAGGTTCAACAAAATTGACGGAAAAGGTTTTTTAACACATTTCACTGCCTTGATAGGTCTACTTTACAAAAAAAATAGTTTACCAAAATTTGACTTGGGGAAACACCCAAAATAGGTCAAATCCAACATGGCCACCATCAATTAATACAAACGAAAATCGAAAAAGTTTTAAAAAAAGAATCAATCAAAATCTAAACATGGATGATGACTTTAATTATAATCAACTTCATAGGATCAAGCAAGGGAATATATTTTTAACAATTTTGAAGTGAAATCTTACACAGAAATAAATTACGGCTCCCCGAAA